ATGCATTAATCAATACTGCGAGTTGGGATGCGCGTCAGTGCAGTAGCAGCACGATGGCGATCACGGACTACTCACTTATAGTACTTCAGAGAGTCTAATGCAATTGCAAAGAGGCCCAATGTCTAATGTCCTCGAAAGCGTCCTGGAATCCCGCTAATCCCTGTCCACAGACTTCCTCCAGTCCTCCGCTTCTGCCCCAGCCCCAGCCTCCTCAACTGAGTTCGCGCGGCTTTCCCTCTCGCCGAGCATCTCGTACCCTGCCTCAGCGCTGGCGTCCGGCGCACGTCTTCGCAGGCGTGTCCCCGGGGGCAGGGCCGCGCGCACCTCGCGCTCGCGTACGACCTCCCACTCGACACGGAGGAACACCCACATCCAGCGGCGCGCCATCTCGAGGAACTCGATGAAGAAGATCGCGCGGTCCTCGTCAATGAACGAGTGCAGGTGGCTCGACAGCTTCGCGGACCAGGTGAGCCGCAGGACGAGGTCGACCAGGATCGCGAAGGGATACACGGGAAGCGGCAGCAGGAGCACGGAGCGCAGGCCGTACGGGTAGCGTCGGCTCGGGCGCGGGTGGTTGTCTCCCTGCTCGGTCCCGAGTTGCTCTTCTGTTGAGTCGTCGTCGTCCTGGCCGGAGGCTAGCAACGCGGAACGCGAATGCAGACGCGGCAGCATGAGCTGCCTTGGTGGCGAACCCACGCTGCTAGAACTCTTCTTCTCCCGTACACGTAGAAGGTCGAAACCCCAATCGTATGTAACGTCCCACCAGAATGAGTAGAGCGAGTTGATCAGCGCCGACAACAACCTTTAAGTTAAATGAACGCCGAAAACTTTAATTGGTTCACCTGAATGAATAAACGGGATGCGCACCATAGTCTGAATAGGGAATGTTCTCCGTACCACGGTCCCGACCCGGTGAGCCCCAAAAGTTCAGGGTCCGCTGCTACTTGCCGCTGTGCTGCAGACAGGAAAATCACAGGAAAGGAAGTTGCATATTTTATCGCGTTGTATAATGGTCGTTTGCTTTCATTTGTCGTCAAGGAATATTCGACGAGGCATTGTCGGAATCGTACGGCATATGGGATGCTGTATATATTACAGGCCGTGAACACAGAGTTCACGGCATTGAAAACAACTCGTACCTCATGAGTGTTGGTAGTATCCACCGAGCAAGCCCTTGTTGTGGCGGTGGGTACAGAAGACTTCCTCCCGGTAGAATCATGCACACGGAGAGCCACACATCGCCGAGCACTTTTGCAAAGGACGTAAAGATATCAGCAAAGACCACGTCGGAGAAGTGTATGCGGTGTTTCGAGATCAAGCACCTGCGTATTGAACTTTGCACGGCTGGTCAGCGACACGTATGAGACCGACATCAGGTAGGCACGCACTGCAAGAACTTGTCGCGCTCCCTCTTCCCCGCGACATCAAACGGCGAGACGAGCATCATGAGCAGGAAGAGCATGAGCACGCCAGGCACGAACTTGTACACGTCCACGAGCCCGACGTCGGCGCGGGTCGCATGCTGGTAGCACGCCCAGCCGAGGCACAACACGATCGCGTAGCAGAAGAAGAGCCTGTACACAGGGCCGTAGAGCGTCGCCGGGTGCGGCACGAGCTTCCAGCCGCCGCGCGCCGTCGGCAGCGGCGTGTCTGGTTCCGAGGCAGAGTACGGGTGGTGCGTCAGACGGTGCGGCTGGTGCGTGCTCAGCTCGAGCGCGGAGGCGGCGTCGATGCCCAGGGCGCTCAGACCGTGCAGGTTTGTCGCCCAGCCAAGGACACCGAGCCCGCCGAGGAAGAGAACACGGAAGGGCAGGGGAAAGCGGGCAGAAAAGGTGATCTCCTCGCGGATGGGGTCGTCCATGTAGGACACAGGGCTCAAGCTGTGACCAGGTGATGGTTCGTGGGGCGGCTGCTTTGCAAGGTCAAGAAATTACGGCCACGTCTCCGGTAGAAAGGGTGCCACAGGGGCGGAGAGAAGAGTGAAAAGTCAAGGAGTGTTGGCAAGGTTGTGGCAGGGGCATAGCAAAGATGGTCATAGGCGCCCTCAGTGTCAACGTTGTTAACGCCAAGGCGGAATACTACCAGCAAGTACCGTTCTGGCTCTTCTAGGTGGCGGACTCCAGATTCGCACGCCGTGTTCTACTAGATATTACATTGTTCACGAACGAGGTATGTTAATGTATACAGGATGGACGAGGTCGTGACACTACTCTCCGAGATAAACAAACACCGTCCATCCTCGAATCACCGGGTGCCAAGATCCACGCACGCGTCAATGTCGCCGTTGGGGCACCCTCCAGGATTGCCGTTCTTCAGGCCGTTCAGGCCCAACTCTGGAGCCTCCGCGATACCTGCGGGCAGAACGACATCTGCCAGGCAGAGCATACCATCGCAACCTCCCGCGCCGTTGGCCGTCGTGTGATGGCTGTTGACGAGGTTGAACGAGTTGCGGCTTGCTGGGTCAGCACCGGCCGTGTCAGGAGCGGCGTCGGTATCGTAAGAGAGGAAAGGCGATGCGGTCCCGTCTGCATTAGCGCCGTTTGCGCTAGCGGCGGGGTCTGTAGAAGCGGCTGCAGGACTGGCATTTCCGGCGTCGCCGCCACTCGAGGCAGCATCAGTACCTGCGCTGGTACCAGGGTCGCTGCTTCCGTCGGAGGAAGAACCAGCGAGAGAGCCATCTGGGTTGAAAGACTCGTCTCGATCGGGATTGAAGGAAGCGGATGCAGATGTAGAGTCGCCACCGTCGTCACCGGAGCCGCCGTTCGCAGGTGAAGCAGGAGGGTCCGCAGGAGGATCTGACGTGGAGGACGCGGCGTTAGAATCTACTGCAGCAACATCGTTGTTGGTGGTACCAGGATCGGCAGCAGCTGGGTCCGAGGCAGGGGGGTCAGCAGCAGGGGCGTTGGAGGACGAGGCATCCGTCGCAGAAGAATCTGAGACCGGCGGGTCGGTAGGGGCGGTACCAGCTGCAGGAGTGGCATTGGAGTCACCGTTGTTGTTAGCAGCCGGAGGGTCGGTGGAGGCCACGTTATTGGTGCTGTCAACAGTTGCCCCAGAGGTGTTATCAGCGGCAGCATTCGAGGCAGGAGGGTCCGAAGGAGGGCCGCCGTTCGCAGGAATCGAGGCAGGGTCGGCTAAGTTTCCCGTCGAGAAACCGCTAAAGACAGGATAGTTGCCAGCCACACTGGGGTCGCCATTCTCAGAAACATCTGAAGTTTCTCCTCCATTCGTGAACTCGGTGGGCAGCTGAGGCCGTCGAAAATTGTCGGTAGCTCCACGCCTGAGACACCCCACCAAGAGCTGTCCAAACTGCGCCGTGGTAAACCCAGATGGTGCTTGAATTGCGCCGCTCTGGACACCTGCGAGCGTCTGCGCAGGGTTCGCTATCTGCACACCCGCAATGTTGCAAGTTATCTCGTCGACAATCTGCCGGACATGAGGGCGTGTAATCGAGGCATGTCAGACAAGCACGCACCGGGAGCTGCCTCGGGTGTAAGAGGGGGGACGCGTGAATCAGCTGACCCAGAAGAAGGGCCGACGCGGCGGAGGTGATGAGGTACATATCAGTTCGTATTGCGTCGTAAAGATCGTCAGGTCGTAAGGAGCGTAAGATGTAGAAAAGAGTGTATGAGTTGGTTAGAAATGCGAGACGTCGTGAGATGGACGTTCAGAGGAGAGCAAGAAACAGCACGGCTGGCTTATTTGAGACGCAGCGGCTGACACCGACGGCAGACAGCTCTTCGATGTCGCTGTCGCCCAAAGTGGAACTGGTAGCATATCGCCATTTCGGGAAGCTCCTGGGTCCCCAGTATCCATGTAGACCATATCCGCACAAAAATCGACACAGCGCACGATATTGATAGCGGTAGTATGTCGAATTTGAATAGTCATGAAACGAAACTCACCACAACCGTGTCTCAAATCAAGCGCAAATCAAAGCGCCCATGGCATCTCCGAGGGATGGTGCTGTGGTCCTCCGTATCAATTGCAAAGCACCTCGCAGAACTCCCACAGTGATGTCGGGCTGTCTTTGTGTGTGCGGTGCAGACCACTCATCCCTTCCCAGGAGTCCAAAACTAGCAGTTTATCAACGCCCGGCAGGACGGGAGTGTCAGCAGCTATGGGGCTTGGTGAAGTGAGAAGCATGTGCGTATCTCTCATCCATCGCGCCCTGACAGAACCTCCGACAACAATAGGCGATGCTCCAGGGTAGATCTTCGGTAGCGTGCGTCGCAGGGTAGACTGTATGATACACCAAACCCGACGCCTGACGCCGACGCCTGACAGATATTCAGGATGCCGCATGCGTGGAGGATTCGTTTCTGCAGTCTAAACACATGTTAATCAGCGTGTGCAAAGCAATAGCAGTAGCTCACCAGTAACGAAGTCCTTCTTTTGAACCGCAACAGACGTAAGAAACGCAGACTCCTCGCTGTGCAAGCCGCCACGGCTGCTTCCTGTACTTGCTGAGAACACAACAATCCTGCTCGCTGCCGCCATCCAACCCGTCCCGACGAGACCCCGACAAGCCGGCGTAAGGTGTTCCGTTCCCCACAAAGCTGTCCAGTCTCGCTGAAATCATCAGTGTATTTCGTCTGCGAATTTGATTGTCTAAGCAGCGAAGACGCTGAACCCTTCGCTAGATCAGGCATCCATATCCCGCCCAGCTTAACCAATTTACATCGGCCGCCTCTCGAGCTTTCCACACGGCAGGAAGCCCCTCTTACTCTCAGCACACTTTGTGCACGACGCCAAAAAGACACTGCACACGACGACGGCAGCAAAAACGCTGATAGACTCGTCCTGATCGAGCGATCGTCTCTGCTACCCCGCATCACGCGCAACGATGACCCGAGGAAGAAGGAAAGATCTCACCATCCCGCCTTCGCGAGCGTTGCTTCAGCAGCGCGATTACCGTGCCAGAAAGGCGCAGTATGTGGCTGACCTTGAAGACCGTGCGCGTAGAGCTGAAGAGGAGAATGCTCGCCTCAGGAAAGAGGTTGAGGTCTTGCGCATGAAGCTTGCCGTGCCGGGGTCCGTGGGCCCCTCGCCGGAAGTCGTGCGTCGTCTGCTTTTCCAACGTTGTTTAGCTGCTCATCTCACTGCTCCAGGTAACCGCGTCTTCCGAGCTCATGCACCAGCTCACGGCGGCGGCGGCGTGCCTCGCACGCTTTCAACAACTCACCTTTAATGAACACCACCAGGCACAAGCTGCGGCGGCGGCGCACGCCATAGTGCAGGCACAGATGCAAACCCAGAACCTACACCCACTACCACCACCTCCCCCCGAGCTGTCGTCTGGCCCAGAACTGCCGCCTATACGCACGCAACCACCCACTGAGCAACAGGTGCTTCCACCTCCGAGCGCCATGTTCTCCGGCACGTCTCATCCCCCCTCGTCACCACGCGTCCTACACCCAAGTCGACATCAGCCGCCGCCACTCCAATTCCACCACCATTCGCTTGGCAGCCCACCACCCTTACATGTTCCAGACTCGAGCAACGAACCCCGTCGCGAACTTCCGCCTGTGCTACACCCCTCACACCCCGAAACGCCCCGGCAGGCGTCCGTGCCGTCATCGTCTCCCGCGTCTTCTTCGACCTCGGTCTCGACCTCGCCGTCTGCGCTCCATACCCGCATGGCCATCAGCAGCAGCACGAGACGCGCCGCCAGCTCGAGCTCATACACCGGCTACAACGAGATTGAGAGCGCGTGGGGCTATTTCGACAGCCGCGACCTCGGCTCAGACGAGGAGGATCAGCTCCTCGACGATGGCGACCGCCGCTCGCCGCTCCACCACCGCGTGGCACGTGCGGGCCCGAGTGCCCAGCGGCTTGAGCATCTTCACAGCCGCGCGCGCTCGTCCTCGCGCATGCACCAGCGCACGAGTGACATGCGGTCTACAACATCTTCTTCAGGCGAAGACACGCCGATGCGCATGCGCGAGGACAGCCCCATGCGGACACGGTGAGCCCGACTGCACTGGAACATGTGCTTGGTCCGCTCTTTGCATCCAGAACTACTTATCTTTCGCGCTTTTGGTTATCGCTATTTATATTGAGGCTTGCATAGATATCTGGTTGGCACATGTACAATTATATTGAACTGTCACGTTTAGTAGGTACAAAATCTGCTCTATATTTCTTTTGATCATGCGATAGGCCTCTCTGCTTCTTCCATGTTACGGACGCGCTCTGGATAATCCCAACGGTCTTGCCCTCCGAAGTCAATTGTCATGGCGCCTGAAGCAAGGTTAACCTGCAGCTCGCAGATGTGACTGACACGGGCGCGCCAGCTGTCGCCGCTAAATGCTCGTGGGTCATCACATGGAACCAAGGGAAGAACTGAAGGGGAAGACTGAAGTGGACTCACGTAGCAGTGCCGTACATCGCACCCTGCTGACCGACGAGTCTGACACACTGGTCCGTGTTGGACCTGGCATCGTAGATCCACAGCGTCTTGCCAATGTAGATTTCCTGCCAACCATGATAGTCAACAAGCCGATTTGGCGGCTTGATGCGCTTCTCGCCAGTAGCAGGCGCGGGAGCAGGTCGGATATCGACGTCATTGAAAAGCCGTAATGCAGTAAGATTGGAAATGTCTTGCAGCCATTCACATCCACTCGTCGCGGTGGGATTGATAACGTTGAAGATGGGAGCTGTGTCGCTTTCATCGAGCTCAGCTTCGTCTGCCTCGGGCCCGTCTTCGTCCATCTCCTCGTCGGCATCCCTAGAAGTCTCGCCTGCAGTAGAGCTTTCTGCCTTTTTGGGCTCGTTAGACGGCGCAGAGCTGAATTCGGCCTCGGCGGCTTGGAGCTTTTCGGAGAAGGCTTGCCAAGCTTCTTCGTTTGAGAAGTCGGTGCGGACGACGACACCCAGTCCCGGGGCGTCCGTCGCGTCGTCTAGCGGATCGTCGTCTGTAGAGTACTCGGCATCCTCCGCTTCTGCGACGGGAACTGGTACAGCCTATTTGAACGTGCATGTCAGTCAATTGGAGTGCAGAGACAGCCATGACAACTTACCGCAACGTATTTCTGCTTGTCCTCTAGCGCGAGCGCGAAGAACTCTTCCGCTATTCGCAAACGCCACTTCCGTCTGCCTTCATGCGGAAAGCGAGCTTTGACGACGGTGTACCTATCCTGTAGTCAGCCTGGTGAATGCAGCGCAACTTATGGATGCTTCATTCCCTTGCCTTCAGAAACAAAGAGAGATCCTGAACCTGTGACATGATGTCTGCAAACCAAGCGGTCTGCAAACTCGCTTGGATCGAGACACCCGGTTAGCGCCCGAGTCATGGGGGGCGGGCATTCATCAGAATAATTCCTGGTTTGGAAAGTATCGTCCTTTACGGACCGCACTCATCTTTGCCGACGTTGGGAGGGTGTTCACGCGGTTGATGGCTGCTAAGGAACGCGACCTGACGTACGTGCTGTCTTCTGCCGCGAACACGCTTATTCTTCTATCTTTTCGGTCGCAGACTGCCGTCGGGCCTCTGAATGCCTGGTGTGTCCTCGCCAGCTCATACACCAGGATCTCTACGTTAGCTCGTGAGTATCTTCGGGGACTCTCATACATTAGCTTCTGCATGCAGTAAGGAATTGATATACAAATTTGCTCCGTTAAATGTGCGTACCCGCGGGTGTCCCCTGACTATTGTATTCGGCCCTGTCAGCCTGCAATGCTACTCGATATGGCAGAGATCTCACTCCGCAATGGCAGTATCTGCCTGGATGACCGAGCTTACGTTTTGCGCCAAACGCTGGCAGATGGAAAACCTATGCATCTTCTACCCGGCCCGCTGGACATCATCACGAGAAGTTCTCGACGCTCACGATTGGTCGGTGCCCGCATTGCCGCCCCACAATCCTCTCCAACCTGAATGGCTTGCCCCCACGTGAGTGCTGTTAGCGTCTGAAACATTAGTGCGGGGTATTTAGCACGAGAAGAGTGTCGTGGGATTGCTCCCGCTTCGCTCCTCCACCATGACCGTCACCGGTACCACAGGTGAGCTCACATTCACTCCGTATGAGACTGTATACTGACCTTCAACGGTAGCTTCGCAGCTGTCTGGAGCACGCTGGGCATATGCCTTTGCCCTGGTCACATCTTTGTTCTTCACATGGGGTTTTGCATACGGTGTATGTCGATCCTTTTCCGTCTTCATCGTCTATTACTGACGGTCTTTCGCTTAGCTGCTTGATGTCCTCAACTCTCACTTCCAGACTGTCTTCGGTATCTCCAAGCTACAGAGTACCCTGCTGCAGTTGGCATACTTCGTATGCCGTTTCTCCGAGCTATATTGTCCTTAGTTTAACCAGATAGACAGGGAGCCTATTTCGTCTGGTCACCCTTCGCGGGCGTGTTCGTGAGTAGTCCGTTCATTACGTAGTGCGGTGCTTCTGCTAATCCAATAACAGATGTCCAGATATGGATACAAGAAGGGTATTCACATCGGACTGACCCTCTATTCCCTCGGTCTGTGTATCGGATGCCCCCTCTATGTCCACGTTACTCATGTCCCTCCAGGCGCGATCTTTTTCTGGCCGTCAGCAAAGTTCGAAACGTATGGTGGCTTTCGTGGGATGCACATTCGTTATAGGATGTGGTCTCTCTACCCTCGAGGTCGCGGCCAACTCGTACATCTCGGTGCTGGGGACTGAGAAATATGCCGCTGCAAGGTTGAACTTCAGCCAAGGTTTCCAAGGTATAGCTACCTTCGCCGGCCCCATGATCGCTTCACGGTGGTTCTTCCTCGGCAAGAATGCAACGACGCTGGACACGGTGCAATGGGTGTACCTCGCCGTCGCTGGACTCGGAATAGTTCTGAACATTCTATTCTAGTACGTTGCAGGAACATATCCTACTATTTTCATTAATATTTGTCTTTAGCTTCTGTAATCTCCCTGAGATTACGCAGGATGCTCTAGCCCAAGAAATGCATGAAGCGGGCATTAGGGCCGACGAGGAACCGTTCTGGAAGCAGTATCACTGTATATTCGGCTGGTGAGTCTCACTCACCAGGTAGATGTAATTGGTGCTGACCTGCACCTCAGGATTGCCCAAACGGCTTACACGTACGTGCTATTTGCGCTCTTTCATCCTCATTTTGCTAAAAACATCGCAGCGGCGCGCAAGTCGGAGTAGCGGCATTGTGTGTCAATTATATCGTTGATCAGAATGTCGGTATCTCGAAGTCGACTGCTAGTCAATTGTTCTCTTACTGTCAGATCGCCTTCACGGTTGGGCGGTACGTATACTGACGCGTATGAGATTGGCTGGGGGCTGACAACAATTTTGCAGATTCGTCGGCGTTGTCTTGCTGAACTTCATCGACCCCGCACTAATGCTCAGCTTCTATGGCGTCGCCTGCTCCGCCTTCTCACTCGCGGCCTCCTTCGCGCCGGGCAAGGCGGGAATTGGCTGCCTTTTCGGCCTATTCTTCTTCGAGTCCATCTGCTACCCGGTCATTTTCACTCTCGGAACCAAGCAGCTGGGCAAGCACACGAAGCGCGGCTCTGGCTTGATCGTCATGGGTGTTGGTGGCGGCGCGTGGTACCCGCCAGCGCAGGCCTCGATCGCAGACAGGAACACGCGGTTGTCATACGTCGTGCCCTTCACCGGCTACGTCGCGATGACAATATACGCTGTGTAAGTAACTGTGGACTCTTCCGTGGCGCGGTCCGCTGACACCGGTTCTAGTGGTATGGTGATTGACCAGGCCGTGAAAGGCGGTTTCCGCTTCCGCACCGTGGACGAGATCGCGGAGAAGCGACACGAAATTGAGGCGCAACAGCCTCCCAGCCCTTCAAGCCCAGTTGAGAAGTCGGAGTCCGAGCATGAGGATAAGAAGGACCCAGCCATCGACTACATCGACACAATCTAACGATCATCGCGTGCTCATGTACATCACGTTCATATTTTCTAGGCATTGTAAACAACATAGCTTCTTTCTATATCCAAGCTTCCATATTCTACATATTGCCGGACACCCTTCTATACACATAGCTATCTTGATAGGCGGCTGACCCTTATGCGACCACGCCCCAGACTCGCTCAGTGAGAGTGCGAAGTAGTGCTGCAGGGCCGGGGGTGACGTTGACGACAGGTACGCCTACTGTCAGCGGCTTCTTCTCCAGCTCTGGTGCCGTTTCCAATTCCACCTGGGCGGGGACGGCAGTTGACTCCAGGGCGCCCGAGGAGTGAAAGCCGTGCATCTCCAACTCGGCCTGTACGGCCGCACGGTTTACACCGGGGTCGTACGCTCCCTCGCCTTCTCTGCGGTCTACCACGAGCATTCCGCGGGTAATCTCGCCGAGCCTATACAATTTTGCTTGAACATTGCTGGATTGTGCGCCACTATGCAGAGACAGCTTACCGTTCTACTTGGAACTTTCTACGCACCGCGCCCCATCTGCCCTTGAGAACGGGTAGAGGTCCGGCCTGGGCAAGCTCTTCGTCGCTCGGGGGCGGGTTCTCGATAGCACACCAGACGGCGACGATATCGTGCAACTCCATCGCGTCCTTACCGAACATGATCATGACCTCTCTCGTCCGCTCCAGGAACGCGCTCGTGAAGTGCAAGAGCGGGGCCTTCTGGCTCGGGTCGGATGGGCGCGTGGTATTTTCGAACGTGGGATCGATGTGTTCCTTGTAATATGGGAACGTTATCTCGTGTGGTGTGGTGGTATCTAAAGGGACGAGTAGGAATCTCTCGAGTGGGAAGCCTTGCACAGGCGATACAGGCTCAAAGATCTCTTTCACCGCGAAGGGGTCCGCGAAGAAATTGACTGTGTCGGGAGATTTCAGCGGGCTTCAAGACCAGGCAACGCTTTCTACTTACACTCGGCGACCGCGCTGCTGTTGCCTGGGACATCAAGTGCACCGCCCATGCATATTACCTGGCCAAGTCTGTCTCGCACTGTATCACCATGCTTGCGCATGAGTCGTGCGAAAGACGTCATTGGGCCAAGAATGATGTACGAGATGCTCTTCACGGGCTCCGTGCTGATGATATCCAAGGCAACATCTTCACCAGGTTTGTCGGCGAACTGAAGCATCGGGTACGCTCCGGGATCTTTGGTATCGACATTGAGATCAGGGTGTCCTTTGTCGATGTCGCCGAGACCGTCCCTGCATTGGTTAATATTGATTATCAGTGGGTTAAATGTTATCAGTGCGGTTTACGGACCGCCCGTGGAAGTATTCTGCGCTGAGCAGCTCGCCTTCAAGCGGGCCGTTCGCACCCTTTGCCAGTATAATCTGACTACCTGGCGTGAAGTTGGAGAACCGCGCTCTGGACTTCGGATCCTGCTCAAACTGGAGCGCAAGTGCCTTGTGAAGCCTCAGAATGTTGAGACTGCTTGGCGGGTAAGGTTGGGAGTATGTCAAGTGGCTCATACGTCACTGACTAGGCTGCCTCGACATCGGTATTGCCTGCAAGCATAGTCAGTTATATACACGTCGTCGCCAGACAATATGACGCATACCGAAGGTTACGATAATAGCTCGTATATCGAGCTCTGGCGAAGCCAGTGCTAGCAAGCTGAGTTATTCCGTGAGTTAGTGGGAGCGCTTCTTGGGCTCAGTTCAACCCTACATAGCCAGCACATCGTCCACACCTGGGTCGGTGTCAACTATGCATAATGAATGCGTAAGAACCGGGGAATCATTGCTAGTGCATAACCGCACTGATTACAGGGATTCTTCGTGAAGACACGGTCATCGAGGTGGGGGTCACCGTGAGGACGTGGTGGTAGCTGACAAGCTGACAAGCTGGCTAAATGGCATCTTACGAGACTTGCATTACCGCTGGAGCTCAATGCCTCACGCAAGTCATCCGATGGCGTAGTTGAACAGTTATGGGATCTGGCTTGGCTAGATTGTCTAACGACACGCACAGAGACAGTAACAGAGATACAATAAGACGTATAACCTGTATGCACTCCGAGATACGAAATGAAACATAAAAAAAAGATCTAGAAGGGATGCAGATGTTAGTATTGTGATCTCACTTTCTAAATAACGAGAGTGGGGATAGAAGGATCAGAGATCTTGGTGGAAAGGTTAGTCTCATTGGGCTGAGCCCTCTGAAGTAGCAAATACTAAAAGGTACTACATCATATCACAAGAAGGCAAAAGCAAGAAGACTTACCATCATGCTCACTAGCGCATAATCACACCCCGCAGCACCTCCACGATCTGTTCTACCGTCGGCCGGAAGCACGCGCATCGAATGTCATACAACATTGAATGAGTCAATGAAACATGCGCCCGGTTGACTCCGACACAGTCACCCAACGCAACAGTCACAAGGCACCAGGCAGTAGAGGAAAGCTCATGTCGGAGGTAAGCAAGGGTGCAAAACAAGATGAGAAGCCAGGAGCGAGCGCGACATAGACGACAAGGATCAAGCGCGAACTAGTGCGGGCGCCGAAATCGGTAACTGTACAGTACCTCGGTCACGTCGTCACGGTGGCTGTCACATGCCGTAGGCTGGAACGTACTGTACGCCGACGAGCAGCAGAAACGCAACGTCGCCGCCGCCCTCTTCGACGCACCGAACAATATGGAGTCGATGCGCTATCTCGGATCCCTCGCCGGCCACAAGGGCTGGGTTACGGCGGTTGCCACATCGTCGGAGAACCCTGACATGATCTTGACTGCTTCACGAGGTATTTAGTCTTGCTCGCGTTCGTTGTCCTGCAGAAAGCGTTGAACAGTCATTATAGACAAGACTATCATTGTCTGGCAGTTAACTCGCGACGAGGATTCCTACGGCTATCCCAAGCGCATGCTCCACGGCCATAACCACTTCGTTTCTGACGTTGTTATCTCCTCTGACGGCCAATTCGCGCTCTCCTCTTCCTGGGACCACACTCTTCGCCTCTGGGATCTCAATACTGGCCTCACCACTCGTCGTTTTATTGGACACACCTCTGACGTCCTGTCTGTCAGCTTCTCCGCTGACAACAGGCAAATCGTCTCTGGTTCTCGCGACAGGTCCATTAAGCTTTGGAACACTCTCGGCGAATGCAAGTATGATATCAAGGAAGACGGCCATACCGAGTGGTGAGTCTGATACGTGGAGGCTCTCGGGACGATCACGAATCCATTTCATCCCTCCAGGGTCTCCTGCGTGCGCTTTTCTCCCAACGTCCTGAACCCCGTCATTGTCTCCTGCGGTTGGGACAAGGTCGTCAAGGTAAGCCTTTTCCCTTTGCTATCAGCGCGTTTGCTGTGGGCGCGAATACTATCAAATCATTCTACACTGAGGGTCCGGGATCCCCAATGGACCACTTTCGTTAATAAACAAGTATTCAACAATAGTGATAAACCTGGCTGACTATTTGCGCTAGGTTTGGGAACTCCAGAAGTTCAAGCTCAAGACCAACCACTACGGCCACACGGGCTACATCAACACTATCTCCGTTTCCCCTGATGGTTCGCTTGCTGCTTCCGGTGGCAAGGACGGTATCACCATGCTTTGGGACCTCAACGAGGGCAAGCACCTCTACTCACTTGAGGCCGGTGACATCGTCAATGCCCTCGTCTTCTCCCCTAACCGTTACTGGCTGTGCGCTGCCACTGCCACTTGCATCAAGATCTTCGACCTTGAGAGCAAGTAAGTGCTCCCACCTTCAATCTATCTGATGCTTTCCTGATCCCATTCTTCAGGTCGATCGTCGACGAGCTCAAGCCTGACTTCGCGCAGAGCGCGGGTGCTCGAGAGCCGGAGTGTGTCTCCCTCTCCTGGTCCGCCGATGGCCAGACCCTCTTCGGTGGCTTCACTGATGACCTCGTCCGCGTATGGACCGTCACCTCATGAGCAGCGTGACGGCCTCGCTGGTTCGTTGGGGGTTCATCATCGCTTTCCTCGCGCTTTTATTGCTTGTCTCACCCAAAATCAAAAGCATTTCATTGCGCTAGCTCTGTTGCCGGTCATGTGTAAGATTGCTGTTGTACACTGAGTATTCGTTTACTGGAGTGCTAGTATCCTCTGAACAGACCGTGGATCTCTTCAGGTATTCTAGATAAGTTGGGTCTTTCCGCCACGAACACTTCGGTCACTCGCTTCGCCGTGCGAAGCTAAGCATCTTCTCGCCAGAGTGGGCCAAGCACTGGTGATACCGAGAGCCGATAGAGTGCGACCGGCTGGCTTCCTAGGAACGCATCGATGAACGCCCGCGGACGTATCGGTCAGGCGGAGTAACACGGCGTCCTTCGTCCCGCGAACGATGATAGTTGTGAAGTGGGTAAGAAACAATGTAACATCGAGTGACTCACGGAGATCATCAGACACTGCTTTGAATCTACATCTTGTCTCAGGAACAGGTTTGGCCCAGACCACGATGTTGCGTCACAATCGGATGTACCTCAGAACTAGTTGTCGGATATGGGAGGTTTGCACGAACAGAGCCGGCGGCGCAGGTTTGTAAGCTGGCAAGAGACGGTACGAAACTTGTCTAAAGTTCAGGCCCCAAGTTCTGGGGAGGGTTTTCGGCTAGTGGCTGCGGGCGTTCTGGCCTGGATAGGGCAGCGTGATACCGAAAGATTCGACGAGCGGGCGCCGAGATCGCAAGAGAGTTGCACGGAGGGGGTTCTACAGATGCCGCGCCTTCCACCTGGAAGAGGCTTAGGAGGCATGTGATGCCACACACGTTCTGGAAGAACGTTCCTCTACCGGTTGTTCCATGAATCGATGGTATACAGACAGGAGCGCGAGAGTCATGAGTAGGGCAAGCGGCTGCCGCAGTGGTGCCGCATAACTGAAACGTCGTTATAGGCTTGGTTGTCTTGCAAGGCGTCGAGCGCGCCGAAGTCGCTGAAGTGCGCCGTGGTCACGGACATGTCCCTTCCGGCTGGCCGAAGTGAAGACGGACGTGAAGACAGCAAGCTGGGGAGGCAAAAGCGTTGGACTGACTGTAATAGATTGGGGTGGCGGAGAGCACGCAAGGCCTGCATAAGCCGGACGCGTTCCCAGGGCAGGCGGCTTGAGACCGGTTTCGGTACGAAAGAGTGAAGGACAGAACGCGGTGGCAGCGTGACAGCGGATGCAAACGCGAGGAATGACGCCGTGACTCCCACGTGGCAACGGAATGTAATCACATTGTATTGCCTTCCTTTTATATTTGCCCAATTGCTACGGGCCACAGCCTGTCTCGTCGTCTTTCTCCCCGTCTTTGTCGTCCGCGTCGTCGCCAGGGACTCCCTCGACCATGCACTCGCTGCACACCAATCCTCCCAGGCCCATGGGCCCTCGCACACAGCGAGCAGCATCCCCAGCCTCAGGCCACAGCTCGCTCGACGTCGCGCCTCTCAACGCTCGCAAGTCGTCCAGTATCAATCTGCGAGAGGCCGCCTTGTCGTCCAGCTCACAAAGTAGCAGCCACTCTTCTGCCTCTTCGCCCTCTCCATTGAGCCCCAGCCACGACCTCAGTCCCCGTCCTGGTCGTCCATCTTTGGCCCTTCCAGGCCAGTCGTCTGGATCTCGTCCTAAGCTCTCGCTCCCAAAGCTCAGTTTCGGCTCGGGCGAAGGCCCGTTCGCTGGCGGTTATGCTGGTGGTCCAAACAACGCGAACGGCTCGTATTCTCCGCAGGTCAACGGGAGCGGCACGCTCAGCGCAGCCGAGAGCGAGCCTACCATCCGCCCACAGCAGACCATTTCTCCGCAGACCCGGCCACCGCCCGTAGTATCTATGGAGAGCCTGCGCCAAACGGTGGAAGAATTTGATAAATACTCCGATGATGTCCTGGAGGAGCTGTCTCGGCTCGGCGAGGGAGCAGGCGGTGCCGTTTACAAGGTACGAGACAAGCGGACGGGCGCGATCATGGCTAGGAAGACGATCACGACGCTCGAGGCGCCGATGAAACAGCTCCTGCGCGAGATCAAAATCATTTCGTCCACATCGCACGTAAATATCATCAAGTTTTACGGGGCGTACATGTCCTCGTCGAGCAGCGAGGTCAAGGTCCTCATGGAGTACGGCGAGGGCGGCAGTTTGGAGTCCGTTGGTAAGCAGCTGAGGCTGATCGGTGGACGCGTCTCCGAGAAGGTTACTAGTCGCCTCGCGGAGGGTGTAAGTGCCGTCCTGTGCCCTTTGATGATGCGCTGATGTCCGGTGATGCCTTGTAGATCTTGCAAGGCCTTGCGTATCTCCACTCTCAGAAGACCATCCATCGGGACATCAAGCCACCAAACGTGCTCTTGACGCGCGAGGGCATCGTGAAACTGTGCGACTTTGGTGTCTCCGGAGAGCTGATCAACTCCAATGCGGGAACCTTCACCGGTACCAGCCTCTACATGGCAGTGCGTGATCCCCGAGCTAATCCTCTTCACCGACTCTGACTGCGTCCGAGCACAGCCGGAACGCCTTGCAGGCGATCAATATAGCATTCGGTCCGATGTGTGGTCAACAGGCATTACGTTACTTGAACTCGTGCAGAACCGCTTCCCTTTCCCGCAAGATATTGCCCAAATCGAGCTCATGATGCTCATCACGCAGAATGAGGCAAGTGCACCTTTATGCTGCGCGGAGTATGGTACTAACGATAGAAACAGCCACCAGAGCTTGAGGATGAAGACGGGATTAAGTATGGTGCCGAAATGAAGGAGTTCATGAAAGCTGCGTGAGTAGCACACATGCCTCTATGCCCCTCGCATGTACTGAGTGCATTCCATAGTTTAACGCGTCAGCCGGACCAACGACCGACGCCAAGTCAGCTCCTTCAACATTCCTGGATCGTCAACATGATGAAACAAGAAGTTAACATGGCGTTCTGGCTCCGTAAGGTTTGGCGCTGGAAGAAGGAGAAACGGTCGGACGACTCGTACGTTTCACATCTTCACATATACCCCTTTTCGCTTTCCTTTGACGCTTTCCGCTCCACCTTTCCCCCTTTCTTTTCCGCTTTCCCCATTTCATCTCGCAGCGCAAGCATTCTTTCATCTCGCACTTCCCGCGTGGGCCGATTCCTATCGCGTTTTCATTGCGCACACAACATTCCTCAATTGTATGACGTTGACGTTGACTCTCCGATCCCAGCCGCCCTAGCTCCAGCCGAGGTGCCCAAGCATCAATCGAGAATGCCTTGGCGGGTCTTCGGATGAACAATGACTCTCCGCCGTTCTACGAAGAGAGCTGAGCTTCTTCGTACCTCAAGGCCGCCCCACAACCCTCGTTCGGATCCTGTGGACCTCCGAGCTTCAAAGCTAACCTCTCTCGATTTTCCTCGTGTCTTATACTACACGTCCGTTCAAAGGAAGTTATTCTTGCAATTGTGACCTATGCTCCAGTGGCTTGCTCGTGTTTCTTTATTTCTCCACCTCGCTGGCCATATTCTAGTCGTTGTGTCTGTAGCACTCACCCTCTGCGCTTTCGCTAGCAGTCCCTATACATTCTGGTCTACACTTGCATCCCAAACTGCTCCATCTAGTGGTTCTTTTTTCTTCGTACGCATACACTGACGTCGCCTGTGTTCGTAGCGCATCGAATCTCGAATATTATCCTGTAATAATACTGCGCTCGTGTGTGCCCGCAATTGCTCGAGCCTGCAGAGTTTGCTAGCCAGTGAGCCGAGATCTTTTAAACAATTTTCGCCGTTGCCAGCTGAGAGATGCCCCACGTGACACAGCGGCGTTGTGGCGTCTGATGGTATAGGCGTCCAAGAAACCATGCTAGATATTCCTACTCATGAACAAGAATTGCTACTTTATGCTCTGGGGTAGAAGCAGTGAGTTCTTCTTATCTAATAACTCTGTTAGGGTGCATTCACTATGGGAAGACGGTAGGAAGGCGGTGCACTGCACAAGGAGTGCGCTCGGGGTTGCACTGGCAAAGAGTAAGCTTCTCCGGAATACTAATCGAGTTGCATAGCTAGGATCAGAGCAGTGGACACGTAATAGACAGGCTACGCAAACAACCGCGAGCTGCACTGGGACTCTCAACTTCTGACAAGCTGTCCGACAACAAAGCATTTCCCATCGTCACATTCCCCGTACTAAAGCTTTTGCCCGACTTCCGTAGAACTGCCAAGGAACCCCACTCGTTATCAGGATATTACGACCTCAAATAATGACGCTGGAAGCCGGCCACGGCTGGTTTTACTGTCATCGTCCCGGCTTCAAGTTGTGTATCTACTAGGTGTGACTTATCATCGGTGGCGTACCAAGTATACATCGCTTACTCTTCCATCTGACAAAGGCTCACTCGCAAGCAAGCTCGTGATTGCGCCGTCTCTCCTTATTGCCGGCTCGTCGTTATTTGAGCTTACGGAACCGATTGTTCGGCCAGCGGTCGGGTGATGGCGTGTCTCAGTCACCGTTCATATATATTAGCCTCGTGAGGTTACAGTATCACTGCGCTCGCTCCTCCCTCAAACACCAGACCTCAGATAGGACGCCCTGCAACCCGAAGCTCGCATGCCGAAACTGACTATAGCAACTCATTGTCATCATGACACGATTGCACATGTATAATTAAGTTCAATGGTAAGGTAAAAACACCATTCCTGTCATTATGGCGGGGTCGTGAAGTTCACATAATCAATCATCCCAGCAATCTCAACAATCTAGCTTTTGGGCCCGAAACGAAATAAAGAAGGGCATCACACTTGTTCGATGACCTCTACCTTGGTTTTCTGGCCGGTCTTGAATGCCAGCGACGGCGATCTGCTTGGTGCAAACGATGACGACCTCTCGGGCTCGGGCTCGGGCGCGCGCGTGGATGCGCCGATACTGCTGTGGTTTGCGTGCGCGAGGTGACTGATAATGTAGTCCATTTGCGACGGCGCAATAACTGCAAGACACAGATGAGGACTCCGGCGCGAACGAAAATGGGATGGACAAACCTCGAGACGAGTCTGCGAGGACAAATTCGTAGACGGCCCCAGCTATCAGCGTCGCAGGAATGTTCGTGAGCGCGGAAATCGCAGCATATGGGCCACCTGCTGCGGGCGTGCCCCAGATGACCAAGGCGGCAAAGCGACCGCCGAGGTCGCGCGCAGTGTTGGCCGACACGCCAACGGGAGAGTAGCCCCAAATTATCATCGAGCTGAGAAGCGACGTCAGCGCCAGGATTTACAACGAACAAAGCGAACGGGCGCACTATGCTAATGCTATAACCCAGGGGCCGGCAGCGGGCGGAACTAGGAAATTGGTCGGGTCCAAGCAAGCCCAGATGACAAGGCCGATCACGAAATCCTACGCAAGTTAGTATATCGGAATTTGATATACATAGAATGGCGGCGCGTACGGCAACGAACTCGTTCAAGAGGACCTGACCGAGGTTTGACCCTGGCGGCGCGTAGAGCGCAAAGGCACCCGCAACGCCTGATGGCGTGAACATGAGAGAGTCGAACTTGCCGTTAGCGATAAGCGCCGCTTCTGTTGCTTTAATGTTCACACGCCACTGCACATAGACGAGGAGGGCAGCGATGAAGCCGCCAGAAATTTGGGCTACTATGTATCTAAAATGTGATTTTGAACACAATTATGTGAAAGCCGAGATGCTCAGCGACCGCACCTGCACACCTTCTTGACTGGGAAGCCACGATATAAGACTTGGCTGATTGTGAACCCAGGATGGAAGTGACCACCGGAAGTAGATGCACATGTCTATGTGTGCTTTGGTTGGTCAATGGTAAGGGCAGTAAGTGAACCAAACTTACGACGAGGGCAAACAGGATCCCAAGGGTGTACGCAAATCCGATCTGCAGAAGAGCTGTATGGATGCATTAGCTCTTTCAGCCGCCTTGACGTGGGAGGCAAAACAAGATCCTACACGAAATCGGCTCTCCGATGATGTTCCCGGTGACGTAGCCAAGGGCAGAATCAACACCTGCCGCATAGTGAGCACAGTATGCTCGCCGACACAAATGACAGAACTTCTCGCGCCGGCATACACGTGGATGAACACCCCAATCTGTCATGGAAATCTGTCATTGAAGATCCAACTCTCGGGTACAGCAGGCCTGCCACTTACAGACTCTGCGACACATTCTACAAACTAGTGTGCTTGGCGATGACGGTATCGTTCCCATACAGAGAGGATATGTGGGCGGGTTTGAATATCCGCGAGATGGACGACATCTCTGTGGGGGAGCTGGTCCAGAGTGGTCGTTGCAGGGCACAGGGACATCTTCGAGAGTGAAGGGGCGTTACAGATAGCAGGACAAGGTAGAGAGGGCTTCCAGAGCTGCAGCACAAAGGGTTTTGCCTTGGCGATTATATGTACAGTCGCGCTTGCCGCATTTTGTGGCGAAGTTTGCCTGCTCGCATCGCCCCGCGGAAAATTAGGACAGACAACGGCGTCAGGCACAATGTTCTGGCATTCAGAGGTTGCTGGCATGATGAGACCTTCCAACTCCGTGCCTGATAGACGATACCTCGCCCGGAAACGACTGAATGTGATGAAATGATGCCAAGGGTCGGTGCAGAGAGGCAGTGGAGTCGATCCTGGAGACGGGCCTAGCATGGTCTGTTGGGCTGTGCGCTCAGTCTGTTTGGTGGTCAACAGGTTCAAAGCAAGCACAGTATTGGGGATTTAATCAGGGAGTACGATGTGCTTTTCTGCATTGAGAGAATGACAAGCAGTAAGAAAGCGAATCGTTGGCAGACAACTTGCCAGTCCATTGCTCACCGCCCTTCTGTTTCAGTAACCGTCACGGCGAGATTTTGCGGCCAAGGATAAGATTCATCTTTGTCCCAGAGCCGCGCCTCCTGGTAAGCATATCAGCACGGAGTGGTACATACGGATCCTCACGTTTGTGATGGAGACGACCGGTGAACTCAGTTGCCATGCCGGCCATCGCAAAGGCCGGAGGACGACGCTGTCTTGACAGTGGCGTGCGACGCAAAAATGCAGTACAGTGTAGTTCAGTCCGGGATACAGCCTCCCATCGGAGTAGTAGGTGTCCGAGCATCCGAATTCATGCATGAGACATAGAGCATAACGCACTGGAAGTGTTCACAGGTAACGTAGCTTGGTGAATCTAAGACATGGAC